ACAGAGGTAATTATATTAAACTTGCTTATTTATTAAGTGCGTTAGATAATTTATTAATTAGAAATACATTTAAAGAAGTCTACGGTTTTTACTGGCTTATCGAACAAACGAATACGAATGGACTCTAGATCATCACTGACTGACTGTCCTTGGAAGTCGGCTTCTTACAGAAACACAGCTTCCCTATCATCAAATGTCACGGCACGCCACTGAAGAACAGGGTTGGCATGATTTAAAAAAATGTTTTAAAACATTTAAAACGTGTTTTTTTTTTAAATAAAACACTTGATCTAGTAAAATAGAAAAAGAAAACAACAAAACAGAGAAACTTCAGCGTAAGACTCAAGAATGTACAAAATGTTTTATTTAATATAAAATATTGCATTTTTAAATGTTTCTTTATGCAATGGCATTTTTAAGATTTGCATGTACAAACACCAAAACAGGATTGACAGCAGTGGCTTCTGCAGCTTGAAGAATTTCTTATTTTCAGAAATGTACAACGCTTGGTAGTGTTTGTTTAAGTGTTTTAAAATTTTAACAAGCTTTGCTGCCTTTTCCTGTCCAAGTCAATTTTTAAGTTTTGAAATAAGAAGTCCATAGGTAGAGAAAATTCTCTCAATTCTCACTGAAGAAGCCACTGCTGTGTGAAGCTGTGTAACTAATTTTAAAACAGGTTTATCAATTCTGTCACGTAGTGACTGCCACCATGTAAGAGGTGTGATATTAGTTAACACAGACTCTGCAAACATGTGTTGCAGAAATGGGCTAGTTTTTGCGAAGTATTTTAAAACTGGTCATAGCATCTGGGTAGTAAGCGTGGCAGAGTTAGTGCAGCATCTTTCATACTGTCTGTGAGCTTTGCACCCTGGTATCTTGAATCCAGAAGATTTGCTAAAAGGTGATAATCTGTGATAGCCATATCAAATCTGTCTTTGGCTGCTTGTGTGACTCCAGTGATCCCAAGTTGTTGCAAGTCATTTTGAACACTATAAAAGTAATAATATCATTAGATATAAAAAACGTGCTTTTATAGAAAAACTATACGAAAAATTTAAAATAACTAAAAAATGTTTTTACTGTATTTGATAAATATAGCTGCAGAGATTGTTATTCTTTCATTTGACAGGTGTGAAAATTTACACGTGCAGTCTATATTGTTTACAAACCAGTTGACATTGAGAACTGCTTTCCCAGGACATTTACATGGTAAGAATGGTAAAAGTTTAGAACGATTTAATTACTTTGATTAAAAAAACTCTCATAAAAAACAAGAAGGAAAATTAATATGCTAATTAATAAAATGTTATAGAAACTTTCGCTGCAAAAGTAATTAATAAAATTTTCATTGATCATAGATAAAAATATATATGTATTAGCCCATACATTTTTGGAAAAGGACCGTTTTTTTTGTAACGCTATGGAGATAACTCAGGGGAAGAACTAAAGAATATCTACATAGATACAAATTGAGTTATGACCCAGGTAAAACTTTATAGCAAAGCTATAGAAAATTTTAAAACTTATAATGGTTCAAAATACTCACCCAGCTGTTGCAATTCCTGTATACCATCTTGTAGGTGGTTATCTTCAATATGTTTTTTCATACTAGCGACTAATCCAATCATTTCTTTCCTACATATTTTGAATTGCATCCTGCATGCCGGCTTTCCTGGATTTCCAGAAATTAGTTTGTACTGGTTCCAGATATTATCAAGCCTTCTTCCTGCACTCATTTTTACTTAACAAGTAACAATGATAATATTAATGTCTTTTTCCATCCAAGTAATATTACAATACATCAGCTGTACTGCTAACAGTATTAAGTATTAACTGGCATGCAGTGGCGTGCCATGACATTTGATGATAGGGAAGCTGTGTTTCTATAAGAAGCCGACTTCCAGAAGCAATCAGTCAGCAATGGTCTAGGGCAGCGCTGTCCAACTTATCATAGCCCGCGGGCCATATTTTCTTCACCAAAAATTTCGGGGGCCAAGAAGGTTGATAAATGAAAAGTCAGTTTATGTTAATTAAAAAAATATTTTATTTATACTAAAAAGAAAACTTTAAAATATTCGTAATATATTAATGAGAACATTGTGGCCGTAATTTTCACATAGTAAAATAATTTTAATATTAATAATAATAATTTAGTAACATAAATTTATTCATAGTAAAATGTACTCGCGGGCCGTAAAAATTATTTGGCGGGCCGTATACGGCCTGCGGGCCGCCAGTTGGACAGCCCTGCTGTAACTCATTTGCTTTTCGTCGAAAATTTCTGAAATTTTGCAGGGCGGTTTATTTATTAGAGGAATCGATACTATTAAAGTTTGGTAGTTAAAGGTCGAGGGGGTGGGGAGATAATGGAGGTCGTGTATATCGAACTTAATGACGATTTTACTCGTTATTAGCATTTACAATTTTTTAAATAAAAACTCATCCCTACCATCAAAATTAAGTTTTTTTCGTTTTATAATAGTTAAAAATATACAAGTCTTTAAATAAAATATGATAATAGATGGCTCTACAAAATTTTAAATGTTGCCGGGAAAGTTGAGAAACTCGTTGCTGGTTTATTTTACTCTCCACCCTGTAGGGACGAAAACAGTCTTCTTTCCATACTCATAGTGGATTCTGTCAGAAGCACCCAGTCACTCCTCATAATGGGGCAACCGGTGGTGAGAGAGGGAGCTCATTATATCCGGGATTTACCGCATATAAAAAATTCCTATGATGAGACCTCTGGATTTGATCTCGAGTTTCTCAGAGTGTAGGATGTCGCCTCAGCTACTCTGATTATTCAACCNCTTTTGTCTCATCACTAGTATATCTCAAAGGACGCGACAGGGTTGTTGTAAATTTTAAACGTTTCTCATCATAGCTGTAAAAATCTAAATTTGTTAAACTTAAAAGTTATTTGTTTTTTAACTACTGTAATTCGTTTTAAGACCAGGTGTCCACGGAAATTTCCAAAATTTACAACTTTTACTCACTTTTATTGAACTGGAAAAATTTCTGTCTTTATTACATCTAATATTACGAAGAAATCAGTCCCACTGTACTCGGCTAGATATTGGTCCGGTTAGGCTTTTGTTTAAGTAAAATTCCGGCTCTTTCATCAGGATTTTGTTTACGTCCCCAATTCCCTAATCGCTTATTTAACTACTTCTTAAGTAGAAATAAGTCGAAACCAGTTACTTTGTACTCGAATATTTTTAGTCTCGGGAAAAAAGTGGAAAGACAAATTTTTACGACAAACGGATACATAAATCGTAAATTTAAGGAAAATAAATTCTAGAACTTTTTCTGTACCTCGTGCATCTCTCTCGTTCATTAAATTTAGTCGTAAATAACGCTGTCGAAGTAACGGTTAATTTTTTAACATTATACAAGAATTGTACACGTTTTTTCTACATCCCCTTAAAGATGGGATATACGAAATCGTAATATCACCGGTTTAACATTGAAATCCGTGAGTAATATAAAATCTTAGAGCGGAATAAATATATCAAATATTTTAATGGATTTTTAACTCCTGGCAACTATACGGAATTATCGTAAAAACATACCAGTAAATTCTTATCGTTTGCGTTAAGTTATAAATCTACTCGTTATTCACGTAATCGAAATATCTAGTGGGTAGGCGGCTAACAGCCCAGAACTGGTCCTTGATAGAATTGGAATCTTTATATCGGGACATTCCAATTTTCGCGAGTGTTGAGTCTTGAAGTCAACAATTTGACGTCATCAACGACGTTCCAACTCGAGTACGAAGTGCTTAGTTCCCATAATTCCATTCTCAGCAAGATGGATTCCATTCAAATGTCTTACCAATTACCCACAATTCATTGGAAAGTAGCAGTCAACATATCTGTTGAGTGCTGAGTGTGTTGAGTCAGCGCTGACAACAGCGCTACCTCAACGTTGAAAAAAGGAACGAATTTTAACGAATGTTGAGATCAGCGCTAAGTCAGCGTTGAAAATTAGGAATGTCCCGTATGTGTGCAGCTTTCACCCAAGGTCGTAGGCTTCCACCGGCTAAACCGGGTGAGGTTGGTGCTCTGTAAAGCGCATGCGCAAATCTGGCTTTTCGTAATCTGAAAATACAGGAGATTCCACTCCGCCACTAATATTCGAATATACAATAGCAATCTTATCGTTTTTTTCACGTGTAGTATAGAAATTTGTAATAAGATACATAATGCGGTTATAATAAAATATTGTGCGATTATTTTCATATAATTAAAATTAATATTTATTTATTTTTAGAGAATACGATGGAAGCGGCGCTTCCAACGCTTCTAACGACGGCACGCCACTGCTGGCATGTGCTGTCAGGAAATCCCCTCGTAGTGATAAAAGTCTCGTGTCACGTGCTTTCATGGCCTATGAGTGATAAAAATTTCCCATTCCCACATTCACATTCAGCTCACAAGTCAGAAAAAGTTTATTTACTAAATTTATGTAATATAACATTTTTTTAAAATTGAAAACATTGTTTTAAAACATTATTTTATAATGTAATATAAAACTGTTTTAAAACAAAAAAACAAAGGTTTCTAAATAAAACGTGTATTATTGTTTTATTTAAAAAAAAAACAAATTTTTCAACCCTGCTCTTAATACCATCGTGCTTCCTCGGGACAGCTTTACTTTGGAAAAAAAAAGTTTATAGTACACAAAAATATTAATTGTTTCGATCATGACACGAATACTGAGTAAATGGTAATTAATATTTTAAAGTGAATAAGCGACTTCGCTCATACATTTACAAGAACGAATAAAGGAAGTGTATTAACGCTGTAAAAAATAAGTTGAAAATAGCACGTTTGTAATTCAAACCTTTTTTAACCCGAGAAAAATTTACTTCAAATAATTTCAAGAATAAATTTATTTTATTGAAGATAATATACATATTTCCACAGAATTTTAATTAAAAAATGATAAAATAGTATTTCATTATTCAATTTAATTTGTTATTTTTTCAATTTCAGTGTTATTCATTCACATAAATTAATAAATATTCTTTATTCATTTCAGTCTAAAGAAACAAAAATACTTTTCAAAATAAATAAACAACGAAAGTAAGAATGAGCTCTATCTGTAACGTGATATAATGTAGAATTATAAAATGACAAATCACGATCACAGAATGGAAATTACTGTTCGTATTTCGATTTAATATCGCGTTCAAATAGAAATTTGTGTATCATTCGAATTCAAATTATGATTATAAAGATTTGAGGAAGATCAAATATGGATGGATTCTTTTTTCATGACTATTTGCTCATTCTTACTTATCTCTAACATTTATCATTATGTATATTACGTGAATTTGATAAAATGCTGTGTATGTTATATATAGACCCTATATATATATATATATTCACATACACACACACACACTATATTTACACATTTGAATCTTCATGACAATTTTGCTTCCACTGATATGCAAAATGAAAAATGCTTCTTGATTCTCATACTTTCAATTAAAACTGCACACTGTTTAGGTAACATATTGTAAAAATTAAATAATACAACAGCACAATTTACGCGTATTGACAATTTTGATAATGATATATAAATAATATTTGTAATGAGACAAAGTAGATCGCGCAACTTTACTAAGAATACATCATTTTATACACATTTCATGAAAAGTGCAACATACAGAATAAGAAAATATACTTTTATGGCAAATATCTAAGTATTTTCGTGATTTTCACGTATGCTTCGAAGTTATTCTTTTCAAAGAAGGCAGTTCCTAGTATTTTAAAATGACAAAACGATAATCAGGAATTTGACCTTTTGGGCTTTTTCCTTTATTTTTGAACATCATTTTATTGTTTTCATTAGAAATATCCTGTACAAATATCAAATTAATTTGTGACTGAACACGAAGCTTTGCTATTTAAAATCTGCAATTTACTAAATCAAGGCGAATATCCACATTGTATAAAGTTATTATTTATGTGTATATATATTATCACAATTAAACCTTTAGATTGGTCCAACCAATGCTACCTTCTTTGGATGAATCCTTTTGTTCCGTCGGGGCCGTGGGGTTGACGTATGGTGACATTTAATTCAGAGTTATCTGAAGAAATTAGAGTGAGTCGATTTATCCTGATAAAAAATAATAATAATAAACAATAGATAATGAAAATTTATAATGTTTACTGAAATTACATATAATATATATTCCATTAATATTTCTTTTTAGTAAAATATTTTTTAAAGAATAAAACAAATATATAGCATAGAAACACAAAAAAATTACACTGACAAAAACAAAATACAAGAAACTTATTCCAAATTTTTTAATGATTTGTCTTATTCAGAGACAACAGTTGCATTAAACTGGAATAGGAATCATTAAATAATTCTGGTATTTCTCCCCAATATATTTGAACGTATTATTATATTATTATACTAGTTGCATAAAAACATGTGAATCTATTACACTAGCCAACAAATTTTTTGGAAATCTCAGTTGCATAATATTTTTTCACTGACTCATAATAATTTGGACGTGCTGATTTCAAATCTGCAAACGGGTTTTCTCTCCATGTTCTAGTTTTCATGCAATTCAAACTTTTGCATTCTAGCACTTTATGTTATCAGCATGGTATATGATAAAATTGTGTAGATATGAATCTACTAAAATAGCACGAGCACAAGTGGACAATTTGAATTGATCTGAAAATGGTTAATTGCCTCTTTGGGCAACAAACAGATTACACAAAGTATCCTTGCTTTATTTGTATGTGGAACAGCAGAGCTAGAGACAAGCACTAGAACCAGGAGTGGCCCACACATGAGACTGCAAGCATGTATGCCAAATATTGTCAATAATCTAATTGTTAGTAGAGAGAAGATCATTTTTCCTCTGCTGTATATCAAACCGGGGTTGGTTAAACAGTTCGTGATGACATTAAATAGAGATGGTGAATGCTTCCAACGTATAGTCAGTGCTCTCCCTGCTTTGTCCCTTGAGAAGATCAAAGCAGGTATGCTCTATGGGCCCCAGATTCGTATATTTGTTTGCAACCAAAAATTTGTTTAAAAAATGAACAACAAAGTAAGAGTTGCATGGGTGTTGTTGGTGGTGGTAATGGAAAACTTTCTCAGCAATAAAAGGCTGCTAACTATGAAACTGTCATTGCTAATATGTTGTCAGCATTTCATGATCTGACATGAGTATCAAACTGCATTTTCTACAATCATGAGTATCAAACTGCATTTCCTACAGTCATCTTGATAGCTTCCCTGAGAACTTAGGACATGTTAGTGACGAGCAAGGCAAATGGTTCCACCAGGACCTGAAGATCATGGATGAGCACTACCAAGGGAGATGGGACAAACAAATGATGGCAGACTATTGCTGTAGCATTAAATGGGATTGTCCTGAAATAAGTCACAAACAAAAGAACTTGAAATGCAAATTTCTGCCTTGATCTTATGCACTTGCACTTAGCCTCCAGTATAGGACCAAATGTGTTATGTAACAATCAGTTGATGCCTGTCTGTGTTACCATTTTTTGCCACTACAGACATATAGATTACTAGCTGTTACCCGTAACTTTGCCAGCATGGATTTTGCAATCAAACCCCATTTACATTCAGTATTTCAACAACCACAGTAATCTATATATATAAAAATGAATGTATGTGTGTCTGTCCTTCATGCATTACCACACCGTTTATCCGATTGCCATGAAACTTTGGAAAGTTGTTTAATATACTCCCGCGAAGGTTTGTGGCATAGTACGATTGCCATGAAACTTTGGAAAGTTTTTTAATTTTTTAATACACTCCCACAAAGTACATTTATCCTACGATAGATGGCGCGCGTTTACACGAGCATTCAAGTAGTGTGTTCGATCGATTTCAAATTTTGAAGACCATTTCCCCCTTTCAAAAAATATCTCTATATATGCATTTGTTATTTACGATATTTGTAATAATTTTTGTTTAATCACTTTATTTCAACTTTTTTTTGCTAATTATGTATTCGCTCGAACTTCGTTAAAACCTTAACTGTACCCCGAACAACAACCGAAGTTGTAGGAAGAAATTCGCGTATTTTACCGATCTAGGTATCCCCCCT